AACCTCTCCTGCACCTCAAACCCCTGTCCTAGTCCCTGCACCCAAACTCCCTCCCAGAGCCTGCACCCTGAACCCCCTCCTGCACCTCATATCTGTGCCCCAGACTCAGCTCAGAACCCTTCCCACACTCCAAGTCGTTTAGCCCAAGATCAGAGTCCACATCCCCTTCCTTTGCACTCCAGACCTCTGCCCCCAGCCTGATAAAAGTGAGTGAGGATGGCAGAGGGAGGGATGATGGAGTGAGCAGGGATGGGGCCTCTGAGGTGTGTCTAGACTACAGGGTTTTTTCGGGGGGGAGAGGGGGGGAGGAGGCCTTTTTTCAAAACACTTCCCCTGCATCTAGACTGCTGGGGAGGGGAGGAGGCCTTTTTTCAAAAACACTTCCCCTGCATCTAGACTGCTGCTGCATTCTTTCGAAAGTAAATTGAAAGAACGCAGCAGTTTTTTTGACCGCGGAAAACCTCGTTTTATGAGGAATAACGCCTTTTTTCAAAAGCGCTCTTTCGAAAAAAGGCTCTATGTAATTCAAACTGTTGTTTTTCAAAAGAGAGCATCCAGACTGCCTGGGTGCTCTCTCTTGAAAAAGCAGCTTGCTTTTTCGAAAGTACTGGTTGTAGTCTAGACGCTCTTTTTCGAAAGAGGCTTTTTGGAAAGTTTCTTTTGAAAAAGCCTCTTTGGAAAGAGGCTTGCAGTCTAGACGTAGCCTTAGAAGGGGTGGGAAGGAGGAGGGACAAGGGTGTTTGGTTTTGAGGTAGGTCCTGAATTGCACATAAATTCAAAAAGGTTTAAAAAGGTTGCAGGCCACTGTCTTAAGGACAGTAGTTGGAGAACAGTGTTCTCCTAAAACTCAAAGCTGAAATGCATTACTACTGTATATGTCAGCTTAGGATAAAGAAAGAGGAAAATGAGGTTTTTAGAACAGGGAAGCAAGAGTATCTCCCTTCCTTTAGATAGAAGAAATGATTTTGGTGTTTAAAAAGGCTGCTTTGTTCTGAGTCTTACTTTTGGTAAGAAAAAACCTCACAATTCCCCCACCCCCCTTCCCCACACTACCAAAATACAAAATTAGCAACAAGGGTGTGAGTAACTTTTGCTGATGAGTCTTGGTGTCCAATTCTGCATTTCTTTGTGCATGAAAACTCCTGTTGATTTTAATGGGAGTTCTGAATTCTATCACAAAATTGTTATTTTGACTACTTCACAAAATTATACCTAGACAATCAGTAGATGTCTCAAGTCTTTAGGGATAGAACAACTACTTCAAGAGCTAGTAAAAGTGTATTTGCTGCCTGTCGGGCCGGGTTGCCCCTCAGGCTTACAGCCCTGTCATCCTTGGGGCTACCCGCCCAAGTCTCCCGTTTTTGTCCTTTCGCCCACCACCTGTGCCCCTAATGTGCTCCCCCAGTTTCGTCCCTTCCGAAGCAAAAAGGGCCAAAGCCCGGTCCAGAGCCTCCTCAGCTTCGGTCTTCCCGAGTGTTATACGGCACCCGCAACGGAGGAGGGGGACTTGGGCCCGCCCCCGCTCCAAGTCCCGACCCAGGACCCTAAAGGCAGCAGCGTCAGCTCGCTGCCTGGTTGGTGGGGACTCCCCCGTAACTCACCAACCCCCGGGGTTCGGTTGAGGTGTTGCCGCTGCCGGCTGTCCTCGTCCTGGGTTGCTTCCTCCTCCTCGCCGAGCTCGCCTTCTCGGTGATCCGCTGCTCCATTTCTCCAGTCGTCAACCGCGGCTCCCTCTGTACCGTGTTCCTCTCCCCCGGCCGGAGCGTCCTCCTCTCCCTGCTCTCTGGCCTCTTTTGAAGGACCCGCCTTCCACGGCCCCGCCCCCTTTACCCGGGCGCCCTCTGATGACGTCACCCGGGAAGGGAAATTCCCTCCGGGTGATGTCAATGCTCCCAGCTTGCCCCGTACATGTGGGGCACATGACTCGGGCTGCCGCCTGCGGGTTGCCGCATCTCCGGCTCCTGGAGACGGCTCTTGCCGCGGTGGTCCTGCCAGCCGCCCTTTTGCCCCTCGCGGGCTCTGGAGTGTGGGGCGTCCCCGGTTCCGGGGCGGTCGGAACCAGCGCCCCGTCACACTGCCAGACATAGAGGGTCCCATTACTGGGTAATATGTTTAGGTCCTTTTTATGTATATTCTGTTGCACTATTGCTGACTAGCTTATCTGACAACTCTTGGTGATGCGTCCTACCCAGTTGGACTGGATGAAGGATTTGTTCTAGAAACTTGTCTGTACTGTTATACAAGAGCTATGGTACATATTTAGTAGAATGCTGTCTCTTGTTACTTATTGGCTGTATTTAAAAGACTTCTTTAATTTGTGCCAAATGCCTATTGTAAGAAAAGATGGATACAATATGCCAGGAAACAGTCCTTGGAGCCTGCAGATCATGGATCCTGATAATATACAATATTGTATGTTTTGCCATAATATTATTGCTATGTAATGACAAACACTATAATTAGTTTAATGGTATCTACACCCTGTAATATCCTCAAAACATACATTTTTATTGGAAAAAGTGAAAATAACTTGTTCTATATTAAGCTTATTTTTATATTAACAAGTGAATATTTTATGTATTAAATATGTGCTGAAACACACGGGTATAATTTCTTCTTCCAGATGGTTTGAATTTTCTTCCTCAACTATATGGTTGCCTTTGGACTCTAAAATAAGATATTCTCTTTCTTTTCCTTCAGCCTCCTGGATGTTAATGCAGACTGTGAAATAGCTATTTTAGGAATAACTTTGTACTCAGGATACTGAGTAACAGAGTATATATATAAAATTTTGCTGGCAGCATGGTATCTACATTTTAAACATTAATTCAACACACAACAATTTGGAAAAAAAATAAAATATTTAAATTAATTAAACCTTTTTAATATTTTTATTTGTTTTCCAAACTGATATCAGAGTCTGTGTTTTCTGCTTGAATATAATGTATTCTATTCTAGATATTCTAGGAGATTCCTTTGTCCTAGAAATGCTAAGTTAAATGTGTGTGAAAGCAAGAGAAAGTTCAAAAAACTATAGAAACAATCCTGTGACAATATACTAAGCTAAGTGAGATATTTAAATAAGAGACAGGAACATATCTCCATTCCTAGAATATAAACTAGACGTGGGAACAGAATTATTTGTGTCTTATGTTATAGCTTGTCCTGATTCCTGGAGCTAAGTTCTAAAGTACAGAACTTTTTGTTGATCGTAACTTACAAATCATTCTGCTGTTTTTCTTGTAGTTCCTTGCCAAGATGTTTTAATCATATTTAAAATGTTGAAATCTATTCTAAAGATCACTTCCAGTAGGCAATTCCCTTAATAGCGTGCTTTAAAGGATCTCCACAGTTCATAGTCTAATATTGTTTGGCTGTATTTAAGAGAGCATTTTTAGACATCTAATTCGTGCTCCTTCCTTTAGTGGTAATTTTAACCAGGTTTTGATATGGCATGAAGATCCCCTTTCTGGGGGATCTCTTTGAACAGTATAAGGAAATTATTCACTCCCCTCCCCTTTAGTGTCTAAATCTACTTGAATTTGTAAGAGAGTTATTTTTTTAAAAAAATCTTAGTTTTATATACAGCAAGACTGCACCTGGAAAACCGTAAAATGCAAAATAAAAATAAAAATGCAAATAGAAACTTGTTTTGAAAATTCGACTAACTGAATATATATATTTAAATGTGCAAATTGTAACCATTTATTCGCTAAACTGGACACTTTTATTCTGCAATAAGAGTGCCCACCCAGATGTTTGCATCAGAAGAAATAAAGGTGTGAATTACAATTGATTTAATTCTTTCAGTTTTTATGTAGACAACCCTTTAAAGCCTTGTTTTCCTTAGGAAAAAAAAATGTTGTTATTGTTTTTTACCTCATGCTCACTAGCAGGTGTTCAAATCCGAGTATGGACAAAATACTTATCATTTTAATGGAGATTATCAGTGCAGCTTTAATAGTGTTTACCTTGATCTGATCACATCTGTTAAAACAGTAACTACCTTGTTCCCACTATCATTTTATCGCATGTTACCAAGGGTTAACTTACATGTGGTTAAAAAAGCAACCACCATATCCAAATCCAATTTTTTTTCTAGTGTCAGTGCATCCTTAGTCACCATTCTTCCTCAGCTCATGCAGCACTGCTCTCTATACCCACTCATTCACCAGTTAATCTCAGGTATCTGTTCTTCCCTACCAGTTCAACATTTCTTCCCTTTCCCATCTACCAAATCCATTTGTTTGAATGGAGGTTCTTATAAAATGCTCATCCTAATATGCATAAAGATTACTTAATCTGGTCAAGGTCTGTGCCTTAAAGACATTGTCCAAGTAGCATGGGTTCAACTGCTTACTAAATGTATGAAATTAGATGTCTTTTTGCCTGGTTCTAGCAGCATGAAACTAAATATTCTGATCCAAATCCGATGTACAGAAATCTGTAGATTAGTGGTGGGCAGTAAGTGGCCAGTGGACGAACGTGGTTCACCAGGGTTAGCCTCTGGTGGGCCACGGACGTGTTATTTACCTGCATGTCTCCAAGAATGGCTGCTCACAGCTCTCATTGGCTACAGTTCACCATTCCCAACCACTTCCTGCAGCTCTTATTGGCTGGGACTACGTGGCCAGCTGCAAGCACATAAATAAAATGTCTAGCAGCCCACCAGAGGTTAACTCTGCTTGGGCCACTTATTGCCTACCCCTGATGCAGATGAAGACTTCTCTCCCTTCTCATTCCTGGAACCCTCCTGTAGCCTTCCCCACCAGTCCTCCCAGCTCCTGTGGCACTAGGTATTTGGATATACCTTCAACTATCAAGGAAGTACGTTCAGATTCTTTCAAATCCAAACAAAGTGTATTTGTCTAATCTTATATAAATAGAATGAAATAGCCTGTTTGTAAAGATCATTTTTACAGCTTAACCACGCTGTTCATGAGGAATCTTCAAACACAGAAAATAGAGTGAAAGTTATTGTTTTGTTTGTTTTGAATTAGGCCCATGCACAGTTAGTTCGAGAAGTTGATATAGAGAAGGTGTCAGCATTTGAAAATCCCTACGTAGATGCAATAAAGAGTTTATGGAATGACCCTGGAATCCAAGAGTGTTATGACCGACGACGGGAGTATCAGCTATCGGACTCAACTAAATAGTGAGTATACATGGATGTGGATAATTGGATATTCTTTTTTTCTTTTTAATTTAAAATAAAAATCTAGTTATATTTTAGAGCAGCTTGCAACCTGTGTATCTACATGTACCCACAGTATAAGCAAACGTATGCACGCACAACATACATATACACCATTATGTGTTTTGTAAGTTGAATTACAAAGGTTAAATGTAGAGGGGGGGGGGGGTCTCACTTACTGCTAGTAGTATAGTATAGTTTTCCTAAAACATGAATCCATTATAATTTGAAAACCAGGAATAAGACTTCTTAATAGAAAACTTTTTATCATTTTAACAATTTTTTTTTTATTGTATTTGTGCCCTTGAGCTCTTTTGCTCAACCTCTGACATATAGATCAATAACTCTTTTCAGGGCAGAGGAATGACCTTGGATGCTGTAAAATCTCGAGTATAATGCGCACCTTTGTATAATGCGCATCTGCCTTTTAAAGGTCAAAATCCTTGAATAAACTAAACTCTTATCTATAATGCGCACCCCCATTATACTCAAGATTTTAAGGAATGCATAGGAAGGAAGGGGCTTGCGCCTGCCACGGGGCCCCCTGCCCAACTGAGCTCACACCTGCCGCGGGGTCCCCCTGCCCAGCTGAGCTCTCCTGCCCTGAGCTCATGCCTGCTGGGGGAGCCTCCCCCGCCCAAATGTCTGCGCGCTGAGCTCGCGCCTGCCGAGGGAGCATCCCCCACTCAGCTGCCAGCGTGCCGAGGGAGCATCTGCTGCCCCCCCAGCCCAGTCCGTGCCTCCCTTCCCCCCTCCCCTCCCCAGCTCGTGCCTGCCAAGGGTGAGTTTCCCCCCCAGCTCGTGCCTGCCAAGGGTGAGTTTAAAACTTTTTTTAAAAACCTCCTATAGATAATGCGCACCCCAACTTTGATGCTAAAAAAAACCGGGAAAAAAGTGCGCATTATACTCAAAATTTTACAGTAGCTCTTTTGGGCCAAAAGTGCACACATGGATATGCATACAGAAAGGAACACAAGTAGAGTGTGAGGGTCTGAAATTCAGTAGTTGAAACTTAACAGAGTTGATAAGAATAGGAACCTCTCAGTAGATTGCTGTCTTCCCTGGTTTTTTATTGCCTTCTTCAGTATAACTGAGATTTATTTTGTAGTCTGGATGATGGAAAAGTGACAAACTTAAGCTGGTGTAGTACTTGCTTTGGTGTCAGGACACTTGATTGTATAATATTTCTTTTGTTAACAAAAAGGAAACTGATGTCTGATAGCTTGTCAATGTTCTTGTGTTTGTGCAACTGTGACTTATGTTTTATGAGAAGTGTTGGAAGCAGCAGGAAGAACAAACTGGACATAAAACTAAAACAAAATATCTGTCAGGAAGGCCAACTCTTAATTGAAAACTCAATTTAATTTTAAAAGGGAGTGGAAAATATTTGCCACTCTTAGCACAATATAAGAAACTTCAGTCCAGTTAATTGGAAAAGAATAAGCAATCTTTGCTAGATCTTTGGTTAAATCTGCCTCTAAAAGTATCACATGTGGAATTCTTGATGTTATAAATCAAAACCTAAGTATTAATCTGGCCAGCCTTGACCTGGAATTCTTTTGGGCTTATATTTTTTGAGTCAAAAGTTTCAAATAATGATGCTGTGGAGGTTTACAGTGGAGTTTTAGGACAGCCTGCAGGCTGGCTCCAAGAAGTCTGACTGTATTTAGTTATTTAATGCAGTAACTGAGGTAAAACTCTTCTGGCGTGACAGGAAATGCTTGACCATGACTCAGAACTATTTGGTTATTCCATTAAAGGTAACATTAATTAGGCTATTTATCTGATCATTTGAACTGTTGCAAAAAATCACATAGCTGCCTCCTGGCTGTGCAGTTATGGGATCAGTTTTAATCTGGATCGAGCCTGTACATTAGAAGGACAAATTAAATGGATCATCTCATTCCAGTCTCGCTTAATTCAGATGTCAAAGCCGTGAGTAGTTTGGAATAAATGGAGGCTTCTCTTCAAGATATGCCCAGGATGGAAGTAAGGGCATAATTCAGCACACATTGAAGTCAATGAGAAGACCTGTTTGTACAAATTTGAATTGTATTGAGCCATAGGAGGCATAATACAGGTCTTGGGTTGAGATTCATTTGCACTGCACCATGAGGAAGCCTGTCCAGCAGCTGTATATCTGTTTCAAAACAACAAAATCAGTACCTCCTTAATATATTGATAAGCATTCAGGGAATTACTGTAAGTTGCGGTAACCTGCCTAGGTTGCCCATAGGCATCTTTACAACTTGGGAGCTGCCCAGAGTTGCCATAGTGATTTGCGCTATGACCTCACCACTTCCCACTGCTGGTATGCCCCTCCCGCTCTAGCACTCTCACCAGAGTGGGACTTATGTTCTATCCAGTGCCTGAATTGGGGGAATTCTCCCTCAGTCACTAGAAAGCATGTATTGCTTTTGTATAGTGGATAGTGGCATACAAAGACCAAAGAATCCCTCCTATTCAAAAACACGTTTCATTTTCCAATATTCTGAACAATCGTACATTTTTAAACTAGCAAAATTATAAGGGAACTCTCATATCAATTACAGTGTTGAAGTATGGGGAAAGTAAATATTAGGGACTTACCAAGTTGCCTCCACTTTTTGGTGCTGTTACAGTCCTGAGATGAGTAACTAGGTAAAATAGGCAGAGCCCAGCATTTAGCTTGAAACAACAAAAACAAGTCAGCTCCATTTATAACTTTAATAAAGGTTGAACCTCTCTAATCCAGCACTCTTTGGTCTGGCAACATCCATGGTCTGGCATGATGTTAGTTAGCCTGATGTCCACTTATCATGGGTGTGACCAAGTTTCCCAACTCCCATAAGGTTTGTTTAGAATCACCAATCCTGCTTTCAGTGTTTTGTGCTGTAATTTAGTTCTATTTACCCCTAAATGTCTTCTAAGAACCCATTAAACAGTGGAAGTGTTGGTAATGCTGCTTGACAATATCGACTTCCTGTGGTTTCACAACTTCTCAAGTTCAGCACCGGTAAGGTCCTGAGGTGCCAGACTAGAGAGGTTCAACCTGTACAGATGCAAAGAAGAGGACGTGATCATATATATTTGAGAATCACTGATCTACACAGCCCTGTTAGTGCCAAAGAAAATGGAAATGAAGGACAGTTGTTACCTTGAGAAGTCACAAATTCTCACCCCATGTTCCTGTACAATTTGAGAGTCTAATAGTTCCTCTTAGCAGCTGTTTAGCAAGTCAGTATAGTACCCTTGCTTGTTGTATTTTGTGCTCCAGTGTCAGTAAGTCTCAGGTTTTTTTAAATTAAAGCTCTAGCCCCTTAGGCTGCAAAGATATCCTTCAGAGTATCAACCAGATGCAAATCAGTGCAGCAATGTGTACCTGAGTCTGCAGACAGGCTGAAACACTGTGGCATTGAGAGATATGAACTGCTCCTGTACATTGCATGGAGTGTTGACACTGAGCCCTAATTAAAACAGTATAATATCAACAAACTAACTATTTCACTGCGACTCAAAATATGCAGGAAAGGAGGGTGACAATAATATTATGGAATCATAAATATGTAGGACTTGAAGCGACCTCAATAGGTCATTTAGTCCAGTCCCCTGCATTCAAGGCAAGGCTATATAATAAGTAGACCATTCCTGACAGATGGAAATTCTACAGCCTCCCTAGGCAGTTTGGTCCAGTGTTTAACTAAAGAAAGATATGCACAGTCTGCTATGGGTGGCATCAAAGTTGTCAGAATTTGCATTCTAGTAAAAAAATGGTAGAATAGCATCCCTTCTTTTATTTTGCATCTGACCACAGGGAAAAAGGCAGGGTAGATGATTTGTCTCTGCTCAGAAGCTTCATTTTTTTGTAGCTTCTATTAACGGGTACCTGACAAGTATGACACCCTTCAGACTCTTCCATGTTTTAGAAGGGAAAATTCTTTCCAGTCCTTTCCACCTCACAGCTTTCTGGGTCCTGCATTGATTAATGGCTCCTACATATGGAATTCAGAGTCCAGCATTGATGGCAGCTCCAGGACTTAGACCTGCCCTTTAGCTCAGGCTACCAAAAGAAGGTTCCTAAAGTTGTAGAAAATACTTCAGCAACCAATTATTTAACATTAAGATGACTTTGATATATTAATTAACATTCGGACAGGGATGGGGACCCTCTGGCCTGTGGGCTGCGTGTGGTTTGTCTGGATTAACTGTTGGTGGGCCTCCAGACGGTTTGTTTACCTGAACATCCATAGGCATAGCTGCCTGCAGCTCCCCGTGGGCATGGTTTGTCATTCACAGCCAGTGGGAGCTGTGGGAAGCAGCGTGGGCCAGGCCACATCTGCCCGCAAGTGGCTATGCCTGTGAACACTTAGGTAAGTGAACCATCTGGAAGCCTGCAAGTGGCTAATCCTGATGAACCGCATGCGGCCCACTGGGCAGAGGTTGTCCATCCCTTCAAGACAGTAATATGTCTATATCACACTTTCAAGAGAAATTTCAGTTAGTATTCTGAGAGACAAGATGGGTGAGGTAAAAACTTTGTACTTGATCAACTTCTGTTGGTGAAAGAGACAAGTTTTGTGTAAGCTCCAAAGCTTCGCTTCTTCGCCAAAAGAAGTTGGTCCAATAAATGATAGTACCCTACTTGTTGCTCAGTAAAAAAAAGACTCTTCTCTGTTCATATGGTAGTATTAAAAGTGGTCCTCTTCTTTAGTAGTGCTAAATGTGAGAGATTTTTTTCCTGATATTTAACCTAAATTTCCCCTTCTATGGATTAAGTCCTTTGCATATTTGAAGACTGTTATCAGGGGCCCCCTCTGTCATCTTTTCTTAAGACTAAACATGCCCAGTTTTTTAAATATTTCCTCATAGGTAAGGTTTTCTAAACTTTTTACCATTGTTGCTGTTCTCTGGACTCTTTCCAATTTATCCACATCATTCCTAAAGTATGGCATCCAGAATGGGACACAATACTGCAGCTGAGG